CATTCCCCTGGGCAGTGCCAGGGAAGCAGCTGCCTCAGCCCTGCCATGGGTGAGCTCAGGGTTTTTTTCAGGAGCCCCATGATGTGGGAATAACCCACCTGATGGAAGTGTGATCTCCCATCAGCCAAAACCTGGGCAGATTTGGGCTCTGGTCTTGTACAAGAACAACGTTTCTTGTTGAAACGTTAATCAAGCTGGGAGCTTTGCACAGGGATGTGGCTCATTGGCCATGACTGTCCTGAGAAAGATGAGGCTGTCACTCAAACCTCGGGCTCTCACCCATTGTCCTCAGGTGTCCATCAATTCCTCTTTGGCAAAAAACCCCATGGGAAGAGTTCTTTGTGTCCTTGAAATGCCCCTGAGGGCAGAAGGACCTCAGCCTGTCCAGCTACCAAAAAACCACAACCCCTGCCCTCATCTCTGCTTGGAGCCACTGGGGAATTTGGATGGGTAGGACCTGTTGGTCCATGAGAATTGAGAGTACAGCTCAAGAGTCTCTTGGATGAGGTGAATGAAGCACAACCTCTCCCCAGCACAGGTTAGGGGAGGCTCCTAAGTCTGTGCTCACAGAGCAGCAGTTGTGGGAGCACAATATGGAACGTGTACATACAGGTTTACCAAGAGGAGGATAAATTTTAATAGCAGGAATATTTTAACTGTTCAACATGCAAACAGGCTGCTGTGCTGATCTGATCAATGCTGCTTTGCAGACCACATTTGCCATGGTGCTATATATAGTGTTCCTGGAGTTTTATTTAATAGGATGCTACATTTGATCCTAATGTGCCATCTCAGAAATAATGAAGCAGAAAAGATCTTTATCTTCTGTGAAAGTTGCAGTTATTGGCAGCCATTCAGAAAAAAAAATAAAAGTAATTGCACAATCTTTGGAGATATTGTATTGCTAACTGATTTCAGTGTGAAGCTTGGGTGGTTTTCATTCTGAGTTAATCAGGCAATGGACCATATATGTTGCAAATACATCACTTTCAGACACTCTCCACATATTGACAAATACAATTGCTGGGGCTGCTGCCTGAACCAAAGCTTTCTGTATCTTTGGATCCTTCTTTTGGAGCAAAATGAATAGCTAAGTGAACAGAAGAAGGAGGACTCCCTAGAACGTGCCCACAGCACTCCTCTTGCAGGAGCCCTGCACCGTTTGCCATTTGGTTGCATTATTTTGGAGCAACTGATGCAGATGGCTCAGGAACTGCTGTGGTTGGGATTGCTCAACGTGCTAAATATAGAGCTGGGAGTGGAGACAGGGCCCTAAATCCAGCAGGACTCTGAGGCAATGATGACATTTTAGTGCTGTTCCCTGTGGCACAGGAGCTGGACACCTTATGAGGAGCCCCAAGGGGCACATGGGGCAAGCAAAGAGCAAAGCAGGAGGTGCTGGGGAGAGGCCTGCACCTCTGGAGATGTGTCTCCATGACTCCAGCATCATGCAGGCTTCTCCTCTGAGTGTGGAGGTCCATCCTCCCAGGACAGTGGGCACTGAGTGTCCACTGCACTTTCAGCCTCAAGCTCAGCCAGCATGTGGGGGAAAATACAAGGAATTTTAGGATTTTTGAGAAGCTATGTTTTGGGTTTGTGCCCCAAAATACTATTGGAGCTGCTTGAAACCTTCTTGTGAATCTAGTTCCTAAATCCTTTGAACATCAGGCTTTCCTGAGGGCTGGATGAACTCACCCTTCTCTCCCTGAAGACTTTCATTTTCTGAACAGCAGAAGCCCAGGATTCTGTACTCACATACATGTGAAATTAGGGACTGTGCACACAGATGTGTGACAGATGTGGGCATGGAAAAGCAGGAACACAACACCCTCAAGTGATTGTTAGCTGCATTGGTGTCACAGGATCAGCTGGGCAGGAATCAGAGGTGCCAGTGCATGGATGGTTCCCTCATTGCTGGTAGTGATGCCTTAGGATTTTAGC